CGCAAGGGAGCCGTAGAGATCGCCCCAGAATACGCAGGGGAGGCCGAAGTTGGCGCGTAGGAGGATTAGGGCGTATGCGATGGGGATGAAGAAGGGTGCGACGGGCGTCTGGGATAATTAGTAGCTTTATTTGTTATATTGTGGCATGAGAGATTTACCTCGAGGGATTGGCCGGTTTGCTGGATTATGTTGGTTAATATTTCCAGGTGACAAAAATACAAGGCGCTAGGCTTACAGTATCATGGTTTACAACGAAAGTCTGTGTTATAGATTATTATTTGCATCTGGGGGAAGGGGAATGATGAAGCACCCACGACAGCGTTTCTAGGCTTGGTGGCAGCAAGACTACCTTCGAAAACCTTCCGCAGGTCCGGCGTAATTCCACGAGAGATGTTGGAGAAGCTCTCAACCAAAGGAACGTCAAAGAGGGAAATACGATGGTTCATATATTCGATATACGCAGAGAGAACTATAGCATCAGCCCTCCAATACTCACCCATCAGGAACCAATCTTTCCCCACAGTCTGATCAATGTGACTCAGCAAGTCACGTAGAAATGAAGCTGAATAGTGCTTGATGGCGTCAATACGTAGACCACCGAGCCTGAACTGTGAGCCAAGCCATTCGACCCAGTAAAACAGGTCACGGCGGACATCGGGATGGCTGTGATCGATATTTCCACACATGCTAGATACAGTTATGAGCATGACCGAGAGGAAGTATGGTCTTTGAAGACTTAAACTTACAGGAAGTCATAATTACCAACTTCCTCATCAACATCATATGCCCACTTCTTACCCTGAAGCCTCCAAATTGCCTGAGACTTGGTCTTGTGATCATGATCAACACCATTGAAATGCTCCTTATTCCACTTCAACAGACTATACATATTCCCCCTCCCGGGGAAATCAAACTTCGTCCAAGCCTCAATCTTATATGGCTTCCCAAGCTCCTTCAAATGATCTGGCAGAAACCCGTCAGCCAAGCCCCTCCAACACGCAATACATACCCTCAGCATCAACCTTAACCGCAACCACCTTCTCCGTCCGATCGGCGCCAGTCCTATGATTCAACACAGCATCAACCAGGCTCGCCAACTCCTCCTTGGTCCCCCACTTGGTGCACCGCGCGCCCCGCTGCTGGAATTCGCCCAGGTCGTACAAGTCATATACATCGTAGCCGTTACTCGTGAACCACGCGCCTTTGTAGGCGGGCGGGATCCACATGCTGGTTATGCCCAGCGCGGCGAGACGGGGCATCAGAGCTGCTAGCCGGGTCCAGTGTTGGTGGTCTGCGGGAATATACCATTCGAAGCCTTGGAAGATGGTTTGGTTTGGCGGACAGGGCGCGTCGTCGGGGATTAGGTGGATGGTTTCCATTTTTGGGCGAGTTGAGTAGATTGAGATGGGCTGGATGGGATGGGATTAAGAAGTTGTTTTATATTGCTGGCGCAACATAGCTTCCACCAGTGGCTACACTACTGCAAGCCGAGATTCGCAAAGGGCCTACAATTGGGCACCTCGAAGTTCTATGAGGAGTTGTAAACGTAGAGTAGTTAAGTCGAGATACGCGCGTAAACTAGATAGGTACCCAGGTAGGTACTGTATTATCAATTTCTTGATGAGGAGGTCTCGGCTAGGTAAAGGGGGCGGGGTACCAATATATCAATCTTACCGAAGACTTACTTTAATTATCGGAGTTATCCAAGACACAGAAGCTTGAGAAATGATTACCTGTCACGTATGAGTCGTCCCAGCAGCTATTATTGCTGATGGGTAAGGAACCCTTCTAATATTGCTAGCTCGAAAGACTTGGCAGCTATGAAGACTGGTGAAGCTTGGGCGACTCTTTTTAGACCAAGAGAACCTACCTACCAGCAGCAGAAACAGAGGATTGGGTTGTACAGGAAAAGAAGGAAGAGCTAAAGAAAAGCTAACAGGTTGATAGAATCATCCTGTACTCCCTTATGTTACATGACGGGAATTCAGCACATACTCGAATACAGGACCGTTGAAAATTCATCCTCCATCACCGCCTCTTACTATTTCAATGGCACAAGACTCAGCTCTCCCATCTGGGCCTTGTCAATTGCCCTATCCAATCATCTTCCATCGTCCGAGCTCCCCCAAAAAATCCGAGAACCCGCGAAACAAAATGCCAGTGTGTTCTAAAACATCGTCGGCGGGAGGGGTCCCCACAGAGGCTGCAACGCAGGTCAGACACTAGCCGCAGCTTAAATTTACAGGACGGTGAAGGCTGGAACACCCCTGGGACTCCAACAGTACCTTCGTATAATTTCAGAACAGATTGTTATTCAGTACCGCAACTGGTTGATTACCGTATCTCTGGCAGCAATAAAAACTCGGTGAAATCCAACATCGGCCTCGTATATCGTCATATTGGCTAGACCGTCCAGACTCCATATGCGGAAACTACGGACGAGCCCAAAACAATTTGGCCGAAGATTTTGCAGACCAAGGCCGAGCTGCTGCCCAATCCGCAAGGTCTGTATGCAAAGAAGACGCGAAAAAGCAGTCTAAAGGATAGCCTCGCGCCCTCAATAAATCATAATATCAATCGGTCCCACGATCCGGCACCTCACACTCGCACTTCCCTTGGTTGAGTGAAGTAGGTACGGTACGGTACGGTACGGTGCACCTCATACCTCACCTCATTAATAAGCCCACCTTACTTTAGACGAACTGGAGAAAGAAAATCAGCTCCTCTCCTCTCCTCTCCTGACGAATGAGTCGTGCGGATCTTGGGACCCCTCATCTCTCCATCCTGCCCGCCTGCTGCCCCGCCCTGCCCGCCAACTCTGGCTTGGGACATCCACATAACCACAACGTCGTCTCCGTCGACTAAAAGAAGGGCCGCTTCGCCCAAACCCTTCTCTCCCCCTCCTGCAATAATACCTGGCATGAGATCATTCCCGGCAGCAATCGACGAAGACAATCTCTACAAAGCGCACACGGTATCGAGTCAAAACACCCACACCCGCACCCCTATCAGTCTTCTCCACCTCTTCTCCTTCGCATTCCTTGCCATCATCCTCGTAAGACCCCACCCATCTGTACTGGGGGAATTGGAGACTGACAGGTGCGTGGCAGATTGTACAATTCTTTTTCGCAGACACCCCTTCTATTCATCCGAAGATCGTAAATCGCCATTCCCCTACGTCATTTTCCCCTCCGGCTCACGTTGTTGAAGGTGGGACTTGCGAAACCCCTCCTCCCTTTCCTACAGAACCTGCGATATCGAGACCACACACGATGGCTTTAGCAGTGGAAGCGAAGCGGATCGCCGCAGAATTCGAAATATCGGATACCAATTTGAATACGATCAGTTTGGAATTTGTTCAACAGATGAGTGCGCGCAACCAACATTTTCCTCTGGGAATATTTTTTTAACTGTGGCATAGAGGATGGCTTGGCGAAGAATGCCACCAATTTGAGCCAGATTCCTACATTCGTTACGGCAGTACCGAATGGAACAGAAAAGGTAGGAACACACATGCCTCTCGGAGAGCTGGGCTGATAGATCTAGGGACTTTACCTGGCTGTGGACCTTGGAGGAACGAATTTTCGTGTCTGCTCGATCAATCTACACGGAGACACCACTTTCGACATTGTGCAATCGAAAGTAGCAATCCCAAAGGAGCTGATGGTAGCTAAGACCGCGAAAGAACTTTTCTCTTTCCTTGCGAAGCAGATTGAATTATTTCTAAGGGAACACCACGAGGACCACTTCAATGCACACATCAGGCGGCGTCAAACAATCAGTACGCCAGAAGGATACAGGGATGAACATATCTTTCGATTGGGGTTTACATTTAGTTTCCCGGTGCATCAAATAGGGATCAATAGAGGGACACTTATGAGATGGACAAAAGGCTTCGATATTGCAGACGCAGTTGGGCAGGATGTCTGTAAATTATTACAAGACGAGATTGACATCCTCAAATTACCTGTCAGAGTGGCAGCGTTGGTTAACGACACTGTTGGAACGCTTATGGCAAGATCCTACACATCACCCGGAAAGACTAGCACCCTCTTGGGAGCCATTTTCGGCACTGGGACCAATGGTGCTTACGTTGAGAGAATTGACAAGATCACAAAGCCAATGGATGGCGAGTATGACACCAGCACCGGCGATATGGTAGTAAACACGGAATGGGGTTCTTTCGACAACAGCATGAAAGTACTCCCTAGCACCCTATATGACCAAATCCTCGATCAAGACAGCGTCAACCCCGGTATTCAAATGTTCGAGAAACGAGTCTCAGGCATGTTCCTTGGCGAAATCCTCCGCATTGTTCTCGTCCAAACTTTGAAGAACCCTGCCATCCCCCTCTTCAGTGGTTTCGAAATCGCCTCAACCGCACCCATCCATGCCCAATGGGGTGTTGACAGCAGTATCCTCTCCGAAGCAGAAGCAGACTCCAGCGCCGACCTATCAAAGTTACGGGAATATATAAAGACATCCCTGGGTGTCTCAGCCGCTACCGTTGAAGATGCTCTCGCTGTCAAAGGAATCGCACACTCAATCGCACTTCGAGCCGCCCGTCTCTCCGGTGTAGCAATCGGGGCCATTATACTCGAGACAGGGCGTTTGAACCCTGGCGCCTTTGCAGTACCCGGCCCAAAATCAACCGCTTCAATCGTCGAAGACGTCAAGAACCTCAACGTCACCGAAGCAGCATCCGCTACTATTTCCAAACTCGCCAACACCGCTGGCCTCGCCGTCAACGAGGACGAGATCGTTGATATCGGTGTCGATGGCAGCTTGGTTGAATTTTACCCTCAATTCGAAGAATACATGCGCGAGGCTCTTAGGTCCCTAGATGGGATTGGCGCGGCTGGCGAGAGGAGAATCCGCATCGGCATTGCGAAGGATGGTAGTGGGGTTGGCGCGGCGCTTATTGCGCTTGTGGCTGCGAAGATGGAGAAGCCGTTGGATTATCTGAAGCCGCTAAAGGGGAAGCTGGACGAGATCAAGGCTGGGTTTTCCTAGGTGGATATTCTCTATGTCTCGGTCTCGGTCTCGGTCTCAACTGCACTGATGGCGTTGCATGCATTTTGACATCGTACCTGTATACATTTTGCTTTCTTTGCAAGCATGGCTAGGTAGCGGTAGGGGTAGCTTAGGAATGAATAGATGAAAATAGACATTGAGAGAGTGTGTGTCTCATGCTCCTAGGGCTGTTTTTGATATTTAGTGATATCATAGATACAAAATGATGCCGCCCCCCATCACTGAGTTGTGGTACGGAACGGAGTAGGCGGTAGATGGGCGGCACTCATATGATTTTCAGGGTCTATTTTAAGACTAAAATACTCCTGTACAGTATTGTACGTGACACTCTCGGCAGTCCCGCCGACAGGATCTTACCTAAGGTATCTATCTGGACAAGGTCATGTGACCATCCTTGAGGCATTTTTGCCATTTGGTCGCCAGTGGCGGTGAGATAGATCGCTGGCTGCGTGGGGAGCCGATGTCCACTAGCATGCAAGTCATAAGCTGCAGATAATCCCTTTTCAGCACTGTAATTTTGATGTCGAGCTGCGATCCGCGGCAGGCGTGAAAATTACTTTGTAAGTAGAAATTTCCCCAAGTCCCATGTTCAGGTACCGAATTTGAAGGTTGGGGGATATGATCTTACGGTCCGTACGGGGACCGTGGGGGACCATACCGACAATGCATTTCTGGCGGGTATACCGAGGGCTGTGGGTATTTTTCAGTGGGACAAAGTTCTCTGGGGTGCAGTTGGGATGAACTTGGCCTGTTCCTTCGAGGCACAGGATTCCTGTATAGCAATGCTCGAAGCTGGAGGAGCGGATGATCAGAGGGGTCCTTGCAAGTTGTCATAGGGCTTCCCGAAGACAGAGAAAGAAAAGAAAAGAAATCGGAATCAGATGGCTCTTTCTGAGCCAATCACTTAGAAGTGAGGCCGAATTGTATATGAGGACCACTAGTGTAGAAGACTTCGTGGGGGAAATAACAATGGGTCAAAATCGGATCGGGGATTTGTGATTTCCCATTCCCATTCCCATTCCCACACTGTACCAAGAACTATATCCAAGAAAGGGTTCTGAGATTGCCTGGTGGCCTATCTTGTGCTTCTGGCCCGGCTTGCGTTTGATGCAGCAAGCTGCAAATGGTGCATGCTATGCAGTCTGCAAGCTCTTTCTCCATGGGGTCCCAACTTAGGTCATTCTCAATTTTCAAGTCACCATCAATGTCTTGGGAATCAGTAGCGGATCTCGGGGGTCTAATAGCAAGACTATCTGTATTCGCAATAGCGGCTAAGACATAGTGGCTGTTGCTGGGGAAAGCACAATGGGATGCTAGGCGCATAAAAGGGCAGTGACCTTACGGGAAAATGAGGAAAGGAGTCTGGCGCGGTCTCTGGGCTCTTCTGAAAAACGCCCGAAGTGTACAACTGCATATATTTTAGTTTCGCACACAAGACAAGCTACGGGGGAATTTCTTCTGCACGATGGCGGTTATAGGTAGGTAGTTGTAGTCATAGTCTAGAGTAGCTTAAAATCCGTCAGACCCGTCTGCATTTGCAGGAAGACCTTTTTTATAGGCCAAGAAGTATATACGTAACATACTTGGGCTGGGAGTGGTTACTCTCAGCCTTGTATTAATTAAGTGATACTGTAATTTAGAGCCAAGGCCCAAATACCAAGGTGAAATTTGATATGATAAGACCACACTTTGACCATGTATTTGGAAGACTTTTGCTTTATGTTATTTGCAAACTATACAATACCGTGAATATAATATAGCCGCAGTATTCTATCAAGTCTTTTATACTTTACTTCATCGTGTGTGGCCCGGAAAGTGTCCGTTTCAAGCTTAGATCACCGAGCGGCCGTTGGCCCTTTAGCATTCTTAAAACGGCCAAGCCGTAGTAGTTGGTGCCCGTACTCTGCTATATGATTTCGCACTTCGCCCACTTTATTCCTTCCACCTCCCATTTTCTCGTCAAAAACAAAGGGAAACCCTTTACGTTTTGGCCCATACTGGCCTGGTGTCCAGCTGTGGCGCCGTTGCGGCGTAAGGCTTTGCCAGTGTGCGAGCGTCTTTCATATTTCTCCTCTCAATTCCGCATCTATTAGGCGTTGGAGTCCTCGATTCATCACTTGGAGTTTTTGGCATATACCAGACAGACGAAGACAGCATTATATCCCCACATCGATTCCCATTTTCTTGATTACTACGCGACTCGATTGTTCGACTCTGCAGTCCACTGCGACTGCCAACAACAAATATATTTACATCTTGACGGTGCTACATATCTTCTTGTGGTAGACCGTTCGACCGCCTGGTCGTTCGGAGCCACGCCTCCCCTTTCTCCTCCTTCGCCATCACCCTCAACATCACTCCAATACCTAAAGATGTTGCTCAAAGGCGAGAAGTATGCCTGCGAGGCGTGTGTGAGAGGCCATCGTGTTAGCAACTGCCAGCACGCAGACCGACCTTTACAACATATCAACAAAAAGGTAAGCCTGACCAGTTATTCAAAATACAATAGCTAACGTCTCTTTTACCAGGGTCGTCCAGTCTCACAATGCACGCATTGTAGGACCTTGCGCAAGTCTCGCTCTGCTCACATCCGTTGTGACTGCGGCAGCGACAAGGCACATGCGAAAGGAGCTTGTCCATACGATACTGATTCTCAGGGTGAGCTCTTGTCGGATACTCGAGGTGTAATAGCAGCAGGTTCTGACAATCATTATAGCAGAGAACTGTTGTTGTAGCCATGGTGGCCGTTGCGCCTGTTCCTTGAAAAAGGAGCATCTTGATCCCGTACCCGAATCTGATTCGGACGAGCCCTGTTCAATTTCAGCTCCAGCTCCAGCAAATGAAAGCCGCAGACCTCGCGCCCTTACTGCGCAGTCGGAGAACGGGTTGACATCCTTTGTCAATGGACGTCATAAGCCAGTACATAAAAGTAACACAATGGCCCACAAATGTGGTTTGCCATATGTAGTTCCTAGGACACACTCCATTCATGGCCCGTCGCCATCAGGACTTGCTAATCGATCTGTCGACAACTTGCCACATACGAATACCATCGATGCCTTACATAGCGAATCCCACATTAAAGACTCCATGGTCAGCGCTCAGCAGGAGCAACGGATGGTGAAGTCTGAACACGGATCTCCACTTATAAGCACAGCAGATAACTTGGAACAATGGGGTGGCGTCCTTCCTCCATTAGACCTCTCAAACTTGTCTGGGGATTACGCCCAAGGCCTCGAGGGGTTTTCAAGTTTTCCAGACCACGAACAGCCATTATTCTCTGCCGGGTTAAGCGCCGCTTCCATTGATTGGTCTCACTATGATGGCCTTGACTTCAACAACGATAACTTTGCCACATCTTCGTACAGCCAAGCGCCATCTTTCACGGGCTTTGATTTCAGCAGTATTGATCAACCCGCTCTCACAACTACGTCAACTTCGGGTGAGATTTCCGAGGTGGAGGAGTATCCCTCCATGGGCGATGCTGTTCATAGCAGACCAACATTGCCCAACGCCACTAAATACGGCTCAGATTTGGACACTTCGGACTTTGGTGGTGACATTGACAGCTACCGACTAAGCACCGCATCCTCGTACGTCGGTTTGCCTCAAGCTCAATTGCTAGCCGGCAACAATCTAGACACCCTCGACATTGAATCTTTTATGAAAGCTAGCAATATGCAGTCCTACTCGGCCAACCACGGCCTTCCTCCTACCAGTTTCGCCGATGACAGCAAGCTTGCAAACAATATGGGCGCTTGGGACGATAACCCAAATTTCCCATCATTGTCAGCTGATGCTGATAACGATGTTTTCTGGATGAACAATTTCTCGACAACCAACCTTGCAATTGATGAAGCCTGCGGTAATTTAGAACTACCGGAAGAAAATGTTTGGGCTCAATAACATGAGTAGCCCGGGCAACGGCCCTGCAACGAATTCTCTTTTAGATATCCACCTATGCATCGACGATTTGTTTATGCAGCAGCACAGATTTTGTGGGATGTTTATGAACGGAAATGTTGAGACTGTCCATAGAATTTCCTGTCACATATTGCAATACATCACATATATAAATTGAAGTGGACGCATTGGTTTAAATTGGTTGCGGAGTCACTTGCCCCGTACCCTTCAGTCTATCTTCATGTCGTGGTCATCACACGACATTTCTTCTATTGCACTAACCTACCGCGGCTCTTACAGATCCGATTTGATTCTGTACTCCGTATGCTCGGAACAATTGCTGTGTGGAACAACGTAATGGCGAGCTCCAGGATTCAACTTCGGCTCTCGACAGCATCTGCAATAAAATATTCATACTTGTCACATGTAATTCTCGGATCACTATAATCACCATACTTTAGCCACTTGGGTCAAGTATTAAATACCAATATACAGTACATGTTTCAAATGGCCTTGGTGTTTCTACGCGGTTGACTGTCGCGGTACTGGTCTACCCCTCCACACCTCGACTGCCGACCCCTTCCCCATCGTTTGGACCATTGCCGACGCTCTCGGGGACACCCTTGGCACCTTGGCACTTGGTGCCATCGATTTCTATCTGTGGCTAAATTATTAATGGGCACACGGTTTTTAATCTTGGAGATATCGTCCCATCTTGCCCTACAATTTCGGATCTTCAAGCCTAAATCATAACAATGGAGATCGGAAAAACGCTATAGCCGCTACAACCGTCCCCTCCCTCCCCCGCCATGAATGGTGCATAGACCCTCGGCCTCCTAAAACATTTCACCGAGTTCCCCTCATCGAGCAGGTCGACTTTCATCGCCAAGAGAACTGGCTCTGAATCTGATATTGCACGAAATATATCCCCCGGTCAGGAAAGCATGAGAGACAGGCCAATGTTACATGATCGGCCCAATCCCATCAAAACGATTAACGTCGCATGATGCCTCTGCACCTTCATCTCCTAAACACTTTGCAGAGATCCAGAGGTTGCTTTATCCGTCACTACAGGCTATCTTCGGCGGCAGAATTGACTGTTCGAAAATCTGGGGAAACTTTGCAGCTGTGATGTGGTATGGTTGGAACGAGAGGATTTAGGTTGCAGCTTTCCACGGTACGGGTCAACCCAGCCCGACTGATTTTTATAATAGAAGAGTGATGTGCTCGTCTCCAGAAGTGAACAGGGTTGGTAGCCAATGAAGGGGATATATATATACTCGAGTAGAAAAGTAAAAAGCCGTCAACTTCAGGAATTATATCTGCGGTTCATGCAGGCTTTAAAACATCTTTAAAATCCTCCGAAGGCTGGCCCGTGGCTTTTGGCTTGAGCACTGTACTGTACTGTACTCCGTATCGAATCCCTGCCTTCCTCTCTCTGATATTGTTACTCTTGGCAGTCGATAGATAGCGGGCGCAACTCACCCCTCGTGGTTTCGTCTCAACTTCCGGATATTTCATTTACAGCCAGTGCTCGACTTGAGCTTGGCCAGGGACCTGTTCGTATTATGCTGGACGACGAAAGAAGCACCAGCCGACTTTACAAGTTATAATTCGCATGGTGGTCGCTGATTGGCTCAAACCGAGGGCAAAGCCATGGACTAAAAGATCCGACTGCTATTCCGTACAGTCCGAGAGTCCTCCGTCCTTCCCCCACCCCACACAGATTCAAGCTACTCCACTCTTGACACCACACGATACCCACACCCACACAACCCCGTCTCTCCCTCCCGCACCGCATCCGCTCCCCAACATATTCGCAATAACTTTTCGCCGGTGCCAAAGTACCAAAGTCGCATCTGCAGCAGCTTGACGTCGGAAAGAGCACGCAGAGAATTTCCTGTGCTCTCCAGCCTCTTCGTCGCGCAACGACAGGGCTGTCCCAAAAGGGACCCTTGCCTTGGGATCTGCTCTTCCCGGGCATCACCAGGTACAGGTAAGTTTCATTCATTGAGCCAGAATTGATTCCAGTTCACTTGCTGCCCGCAGCACGCGTACTGTATACGCATCCTGTACATGCAGTGTGTTGCTGTGCATCATTGCATTGGCATTGATTTATTTCCATCTGTCTGCGACTCCTTCTACCGAGAAAAATGATAAAGTGTTTCCAATATCAAACAAAGCAACTGACACTTCCCCGGATCACGCAGACAGACACCCCCCCCCCCCTTTCGTCCGCCCACTCCCGGGGCCTAAGTCTGGCAATTGAATTGCCATTCCATAGGAACGCGGTAAAATGCAATCCTACCCATCTCCAACCGCGCTCGCCGCCGATCAAGGCCATCCATTCTATGCCTCGAATCAATCTCTCCCCGTCTCTGCCGCAGAGGAGCTTCAGCTCAGCGCGCAAATATCGCGTAATCTTGCGCCTATGATGCACGCAGGTCCTGGAGGGCCTCTGGCTGAAGCTCAAGGTTCAAGACCTCAGGAGAATATCAATCACCAATTCGAGCATGAGCAAGATCCGCGCCGCGGAAACCTCCAACCTCTTCAACATTCACCAATGGGCCCTATGGATCATCTAGTTCCCCCGGGTCAATACAGCCCTACGGATGGGTCGGTGGCACCGAGGAAGCGATCGAAGGTATCTAGAGCCTGTGATGAGTGCCGGCGCAAGAAGATTCGTTGCGACGCGACGGGTGAGGTTGTCGATGAGCAATGTTCCAACTGTAGACGTACCAGTGCGCGTTGTCAGTTCAGCAGAACGCCAATGAAGAGAGGACCGAGCAAAGGGTATGTTGTTGCCCGTGAGTCTTATATCAATCTACTTTTCACTAATGACATGTCTACTAAAGTTATATAAAAGAACTTGCCGAACGGTTAAACCATCTGGAAGGAGCAATCTCGCAGAATGATATGTCTGCTGTTTCGAATCAGTTTATAGGACATCCAAACGACTCTATGCGCCGACCGTCAGACGAATTTTCTCCCCCGCCAAATGCGGATGGGGTCCAGAGGAAGAGAACACATTCTTCAATGTCTGGCGACTTCAACTCTCCTTACCAGAATCAACGGCCTCCCAGTTGGGCACAACCTCAACAAGAGCACGCTCGCGGGTTTTCACACCAGTCTCCTGCATATGCAACCCCGCAACCCGGTCCAACGTTTCGAGAACCAAATTACTCCCCGAACGGTCTTGCGCCAACTCCTCAATGGAGAAATGCGCCCGACCTCCGACAAAGCAACGCATTTGAGAATGTAGTTTCCCTTGAACAAGGTCAGGTCGATCAGAGTCTTGAATTGACAGATACTATTATTGATCAGTAGGCAGACCCGGTTGAATTTGAATGTCAATAATGCTGATGTCTAACAGATACTACAATACCATTCACCCTACTTATCCTATCCTATCTTCATCCCATAACAGAGTCAGAGCTAGACTTTCGAACTGCCCACTTCCTTTGAAGCACGCATTTCATGAAGCGTTACATGCAGCCGTCCTGACTGTTTCATCGCCTGGGCATGATAGTGCAGCCCAACAAGGCATCCAGAAGGCAACTCAGCTTGTCGCTTCATTCCAATTCGAAAATGCTGCTGCACGTCCTGCTTCTACAAATTTAATCCTCCTTCAGACAATGATGCTTTTGGCGGTAGAAGCCGAGACTCATGTAACAAATGAACACTCTGGTCCGTCTCGATCCGTCTGGTTGGGTAGTGCTGTTGGACTTGCATATTCCCTAAAGTTGCACGTTCAGAAGCGACCTGAAGACATGGTTGAAACTGATCCTGATTTGGACGACAAGATTGGCAGGAGAATATGGTTGAGCTTGGTCATCGTGGACAGATGGCACGCCTCGAGCACGTCCAGTCCTGCCTTGATTCCTGACCTAAGTGTGGTTATTTACCTCGAAGATCAAGTTCTGTTGGGAGAGGCGTTTTACCAACTAGCCCGTAAGCACATTTGTCCTGATATGCCACGCAGTTCTAACGACATAGGTCTTTCCGTGATTCTTGGCCACTTTGCGGGAGCTGCCCTTGTATTCAGCGACCTGGCAGCCCCCACCGACCCAACTATACGATTGGCAGGCACACTTCTCCGAGGCGAGATGGAAAGATGGCGCGAGTCTTTTCCACAAACTTCCTTCCCGCCATCCAATTTACCACTGGTCCATATCACCTATTTGCACCTTCGAATCCTAATGGAGCTTCATCATCCTGATTCCGAACCATCTGGGCTTTTAGCAGCAGCGTCAAACATCGTCGCCCAACTAGCCCACAACTCGGATCTCATTAGCCCAATCACCTATCAATGCACAGCTATTGCAGCATTGGTCCTCATCGAGCTTGCTGGCCACGAGAGTACCCGAGAGGAAGCTGAAAGTAACTTGATGGTTCTGTCGCAAAACCGCATCGCACATTCGGCTTGGGACCAGACCATCCGGGACCTGATCAACAAGAAACAATCCGCCGTCGTCGTTCCGAACGCGCCTCTGACTGCCAGTCAGAATCTCCAGCAGCTTGCCGAGCTAGCGACTGCTACTGGCGAAGGTCGCGATTCTGCTGTCAGCAAGGAAGGCGAGAAATCAGCCACCGCAATATACAAAGAGCTGCGCGGAGCCATCCGGACTGGATACCTCAATTACATTCTTGGCGTCGAAAGCGGCCTCTAAAATGAAGGCGCGAGAAGCTTTTCGATTACTTGTCTTTGCTCATATAAGCTAGTCAGTTCCTCGTCTACGAGCTGACATCTGTTCACTTACCGTTGTGAACATTGAATGAATGGCTATTTTTTGGTTTCTTTTTCATCATCTGAGTATACCCAATATGTATGTATGTACGTCTACGGAAGGGGGATAGTAAGCATCGCATCATTGGAGTTGTGGCATTTTTGGCATCTTTGGCAATTTCTGGGCATTCATTCATTGCATGCATCAACCGGCAGGCAGCATCACATCACATCATTTGCATAAGGAAAGAAAGGGTCATGAATGAATCGACAATCAATCAACCTTTTACGGTGTACAATAGATAAGTAAGAGGAAATCAAAAAATCATTCGTGTAAGATCTTACATGAAAGCAAAGTAGAAGTTTTTATTTTATTCCTTCCCACTTTCTGTGCTGCTACTTACTGAATGAGTTTTTACAGTAAGTACGAACATTCACTTAATCACAACACCTTTATTCCCCTTCCTTCCTTCTATTCGTTTCATCGTACGTCGCACCTTCATCTACTTACTATATACACATGTTTAATTTTCCACAGTAACGCCGGCAGGCAGGCAGGCAGGGTATGCAATTGCTCGCCTCTCTCTTCCTCTTCCCCTTCTCTTCTATTTCCTCATCTAAGCGTACATACGTAATAATCGTGACTGCATCCATCTATCCACCCATCTGACAGCGCCTGCTAAGACAAAACTTGAACTTTGCCTTTCTATGATATATTCGTTGCTTGCATTCATGAATGCAACAAGTGGTGCATCCCCTCCGTCCTCCTGTGGCCCAAGGTCCCTTGCGTATGGGTCGGCGCTTTCTCCCCTCCCCTCTTGCACCTCCCCCATGGCTGGACAGCTCTTTCGTCATGTAATCGTAAAAAGCCAAAAATGTACAGGTAACACTATCTAAGAATAGGCTGGGTGACTGGTGTAATCTTCACGTTTGTGTTTGTGGTTGTGCTTGAGCGCAATCAAGACTGGTCAGCGACTTCTGTCTTCGCCGCTGTCCCATCAAGTCGAAGTCGCTCATCGTGTATAAAAGGTCTCCTATCCACACTCCTGGACGTGACAGTTGATCCACTCTCGCTGCTGTGCATAGACCCTTCATCCTGGTGCGGAGATGGCCTGTCGCTAGGCTGACCGAGTGAGTGCTCAGATGATGACCCCGGCGATGTGAAAACACTCGGCTGTCGTTGCTGGAACCATCCTCCTATCTCCCATGCTCCAGGTTGGTAGAGACATGAGTTGCGAATCTCGTCATCCACGATACCTCGCAGAAGGATGTTCAGACGCTTGAAATCGACGGGTTTAAGAATCCAGCCGTCAAACCCTGCGTCGATGTAGTGTTGGCGTTCGCGTTCCTGGAGCGATGCCGAAACTGCGAAGATAGGAACTCGGCCATTGTTCGCAGCACGAGGGGATAAGATGCTCTGGGAATGCTGTTTCTCAAATAATCTGATCATCCTGGTTGATGATAGCCCGCCTACGATCGGCATCTGCATGTCCATGAGCACGACGTCGAAAAATGCCGGCTTGTCTCTGTAAACCTCAGCACACTCTTCACCGTTGACAGTGATGTGTACTGCATGCCCGCTCTTCTCCATCCGCTTTCGCATAATCTTGTTATTGACGGGATCATCTTCCGCATACAGGACTTGGAGATGCTCCGCATCCAACTTCTTTGATTCTTCCGGAAGTTGTTCAATATTTTTATTTGGAACATTGAACAGCACGCGAGAGGGAGTATGAGGAGGTAACCCTCCAGTTGAATTGAATTCGTCAGGCATCCTGATGGCCTTCATGGGTGTCCCATTATCGGTCACAAACTCGGTTCCTGCAGAATGTACGCGTTCCGAATGTACGCGTTCCGAATGTACGCGTTCCGAATGTACGCGTTCCGAATGTACGCGTTCCGGAGGCCCGTGGGATGTCTTGCGTGACAACCTTCTCGGCCTCTCATTGCCGGTTGCCATACGAGCTGAAGATGTTTTCCCCAGACTACCGGCACTTTTGCGACTGTGCCCACTACCTTTGCTGTTAGAACGATGTAGACCTTGCTCGCCAGCTTCTTGATCATTACTATGGAAGGGACCGGAAATAGCATCAATGAGCCTGTCAACGTCACTCTTAGCACTACCTCTGCTCTTGCCACTTGAACCACTCTTGAAACTATGCAAACTAGCCAGCTCTTCGATGCTGCGTTTGTGAATGACACCCTCAGCCTTTGAAGAGCTGACGTTGTCTACAAGGGTAATCTCTCCCTCGGCAGCTATAGATGGTGCAAGATTCGAATTTTGCCTGGCCAGTTTCACCGATCTAGATTTTGCATCCTCGTCTCCAGATGCATCATCAGGTAGGACGAAAGGCAATTGGATGACGAAACGAGATCCTATGCCTTGTTCTGATTTGAGACGTAGTTGACCGTCCATATTTCGTACTACCCTGGCCACCACGGCCAAACCGAGACCTAGAGTTCGACTGTCCTTCACTTGCGATGCATTGCCACCGTCATCCGATCCTTTAAATAATCCATCAGCATCAGTGCTAGCTTGTTCCAGATCTCGAAACAGAGCATCAAGTTTCTCGTTCGACATTCCGGCCCCGGAATCATGGACCACTATTTCCACGGTGGCTCTCCCATCTGCTACTCCACGTGGACAAACCTCGATACGGATCCAACCATCAGTTGTATGTTGCATTGCGTTGGCAGTGATGTTAGCCACAGCCTGTCTGACCCTTCGCTGATCACCGAGAACGAATTTTGGAAGTCCTGGATGATCAATCACCTCATATTTCAATCCCTTGCGTTTTGCTTCTCCCCTGAAAGAATCCACCGCCTCGTGAATAGTAGCATGAAGGTCGAAAGCTTCATCTTTGATAAGTTCCTACGTCAAGATCTCGAAATCAGTATTGCTCGATATGTAGCTGATACAATGTTCTACGGAAGTTGAGACAATAATTCAGGAGCAGTCAACTCCGCTATGGAGATGTCCGAAGTAGGAAACAATTTCCGAGAAAGTGACTTACTTGGCCTTCTTCGGTTTTGGTTAAATCCAGCAAATCGTTGATAACATATACCAAAGATTTTGAAGCGGAATGGGACTTTGCCAGGTTGTCTCTGGTCTCTTGATCGAGTGCACCCTCGAGGGCAATCTCTAGATAGTTGATGATCGCATTGAGAGGAGTGCGAACCTCATGTGCAGAGTTTGCGAGGAGAAGTCGCGTAAGTTGGCTGCTTTGCAAGGCAGCTTCTTTTTGCCGCCAGACCTAGAAATTTACATATTAGAAAAGTAGAAGTTCGACTCTAGCTAGAGAAACGTACCTCAATGAATTTTCCGTATACCAAGCACAAGACTGCAGCAGTTTCGACTTGTTCTTCGGTCCATTCTCGGCACTTTCCAATAACAGTTTCGTTCCAAGCCATGAAGCTTGTTCTCGGCTCTAGGTATCCTTCTGTTCCTGCTTTGATGAACTTTTCGTACGGATTCCCAGCCCATTTGACTTCTTTTACCTACAGTAATGTTAGTCCCCGATCTATGAACGGACTGTTCATGCTCAACTTACTTGGCCTTTTCGAAGGAAAACTATGAAATCGCCTGAAATTACCCCCATATTAGCGATTGCAAATTCCAAGGCTTGAAAGACCGAGAACTCAATCATGCATAGGAAATGTACAAAGAAACAGTTTGCTTACTTCCGCCTACGCTCAACGGCACCAAAAGTAGACCAGCAATAATATCGAAACCTGGTGGATATTGCAAGTCAGGAAAATCCTGCCGGATGTCTTGTGATGTAGTAACAGAGGTTATTCTACGAAGTCGAAGGTACTCTAACATAGCAAGGGCTTCTTGTGAATGCTCCATTTTCCCCAGGATCTTGGTTTCACCACGGATCGATAGGAGGCCAAAATCAGCATCGAAGAGTTTCAGAAGGTCTTCGGATGAAGCAACAATGTATCCAGATGGGTTTGCTTCTGTTGGGACAGTATTGATAAGCTTCCGTGCCTGGAGTCGCGAAGCGTAAGAAAGTCTTTCGATATTCCTCGATGCAATGTCACCGACAAGGCGACACATTTTTCGAATTGGGAATGAGACTCGCATGCCCTTTGAACCGTAGGTATGACAGGCAATGAGCCCCCACAGCTCGGAAAACGCATTGATCGAAATGCTCATGCTAGACCGCACAGCCATGTTTCTCAAATATTTAATGTGAATGGGCGACATTGCTCTCAAGTAGCTGAAAGTTAAATCAAGTGGCTGCTCAAGATCCTCCACAGTTCGACAAACCAAACGAGCTGTCTCGAGATCCCGGTCGTATAGCAAGCGCACCTTATTAATCTTGTACAGGTCACGTGCTTGCTTTGGGATGTCTGAGGCGGGAAAGTTCAATCCCTTATACAAGTCCGTCGTTGCTCGAGGATCCACAAGTTCGGTGACCACTCGCCCGTTGAATTTAGCATCGAATTGGTATATCTGTAATACCTCGCAGTCAGTAATGCTGCACAAGTGAGGAGTCCGCAGTTCAGGGGAATTTAGTGCCTCGAAACTCCCGAGACCTCCCGGAACATTTGACAAGAGCCACCAAGACTCCTGTACTTGTCCGCATGGAAACTTATATGCTTAAAGAGGTTTCTTACCATAACACGATGAAATCCAGTGAGCTCTTTGATGACCCCGACCAAGATCTTTAAAAATATCTCGAGATTTGGCGCCGAAGATAGTTGCTCCTGAACCTGGGACATGAGGTTGAAAACTTCCATAGCAGCGGCCTCACCCTTTCGTTTTCTGGCACTCCTTAAAACCCTGAGCGGTTTACTAGTGTTTTTAGTACTTTCTGCAAACTCTTCTGGGGTGGGTTGACTGTGCAGCGTGACCTCTGGTGGCTCCGGAGTCTCATTATTCTGGGGTACCAAAGGGTAAACTTGATCATCATCTATCTCGAACTCACATATGAGTAAATTCGGAGAGGCAGGATTAATGTGCATTGCACACCAAAGCTTTCGGCCTCTTCTAGAGGCCTTCGGCGCTCGAATGCTGATTATGAATACTTCTGGTCCGTTCGGTGCTGGATCGGCTTCCTCGTCACGGATGAAATCGACATGGTCCAGCAAATTATCAGCTTGTTCTTCACTGAGAATGTCGGTAAAGCTTTTCAATTTGAACAGTTCCTGGGGGCTGTACCCGATGATTCGGTGCGAGTTCTCGCTGACAGTGCGGACTAGAAGATCGCCTCCATCTTGCTCCTCTAAGGCGATCAAAAGGCCAAAACCTTGTATCGCTCCCGGCACATGAATTGGCTCGTCCTCACAATGTTGTAGTGTTCCTTCATCTCGACCCGTAATGACAGCATGTCCCTCAGCGGTCACAGTATGTTTGAATCTCGCCGTAATCAGGTCAGATATACTCTCCCGGTCTGCCGAAGTACGAGTATCGATAGAGCTTGCTGGAGCAACACTCCGCTGACTGACTGAATCAGAGTTATCAGAGGCAACGTAACTGAATAATTGCAGTCGCTTCCCACTATCGATTTGTTTACCATTGTGCCTCTTAGACGAAGGTGGCTTGCGATCATCGCTGGGAGTATCATTCGAGAGGTGATTGTCTTGAGGTCCTGCATCAGGCGTTGGCGTCTTACCAGGCTCTGACGGGTAAGATTCGCTCTGGCGTCGAAGAGGGGTAGAATCCACCGTATTACCAGCAGAGACTTGATTAGGGGGGGAATAATCTCGTCCTTCGCCAGAGCGCCGGCTTGGCAAGTTGTGTGGTGTCTGAGAAGTGTCCACGCGAATAACACTTCTGATGGGGTAGACTCGATCCGTGGTAGAAGCTGGGCTTGCTAGTTGCTTGGCCGAGCCGGCACTCCAAGATGAGGTCCCGTCCAGCGCATGGAATGCAACATGCTCGTTGTTCAGGTCGGACTTTGGAAGTCGAGGGCTACTGGCGTTGTCGGACGCGGTAGGTGATCTCGGTGACGATGCAGCTAGACTCGAGGGGTTGTTGACTTTGTTCGGTTCTTCTGGAACTGGAGGTATGTCTATTCTGAGTGAAGCATCGCGCTTTGTGGCGACATCTTCACCCTCGGGTTTATGAGACATGGTAGGCGCCAGAGAGTCGAGTTCTTACGGCGTGAAGGCCGCCCCCTCGTAGCACCTCTCAAGATAGTATTCGACCCTCAAACCTCTATGCATCTCTCAATTTCGTTGATTAAAGACTAATAATTATAATTTCTCCCTAGCATTTCAATATTGTGTGTTCGGGGTGGGTTGTGTTGTTTGTAAGGTGCTTAGGTAGGATTGAACAGCGCATGGAAAGAAGGGAATCTAGGCTGATAGAGACGGAGAATATTACGGAGAAGGATTGAGGACGGCTGACAGGCGAACCACAGCAAGAAAAGGAATGTTGAAAGCTTGAAGAATCAAAGCCGTTCGTGGGGACGTCTCGCAATGTTTTGTCGCAGCTGAATACCGAAATCGATGTCGAAGTTGCTTGAAGAAGTTAGGAAGGTGGCGAGGGCGAGGGCGAGATGGACTAGGACTCTGCACTAAGTGCCAGGGTAGTAGGTGGGTGGATATTACCTACGGAGGTCCACCCGTCGGGCACCCTGGGTACGACGACGTACATGATTAAGGTCAGTTATTTGTTATGCTAACGGTATAAACCTTGGGAGGAAAGGTCTCGTAAGGTAAGGTAGGTAATTTACAAATATACTGTAATATCTCCGTAAACAAAGGAATATTACGCTGTAGTGGCGGCTTTGGCGAAGTTCTATTCGTACATGCAAATCCGGTGTCGCTTCACTTTCCGATGTTCCTGTAAGATGGGATTTCAGATCCTGGGTGGACAGGGTACCTAGGTAGGCGGGCAGGATAATTTTTACCACTCGAGACACTTTGATGATGGATGGTTCTTTTTATATTCTTACTTTGTAATTCATAAACATCAGTCGCTAGTAGAGTAGTGTATAGTAAGGTATATATATATATCAATATCGATATTACTTTGTGTTTTACCTTCCTCGTTAAAGAGACCCATCTTTCTCTACCTAGGCTGGTCTAGGTACCTATGCAGTTATTGTAACAAAATTGCAAAGCTCAAAGTCAAGGAGTCAGAGAGAGTATAAGAAAGAGATCCCCCTGGACTCGTTTTAAGCAGAAATCGGCAATATTCCTGCGAGAACGTCAGACCACCAGGACTATATTTGAAATATCTTCTTGTCTCGGAGGGTTTGCTCCGGAAGGAGAGGGTGGGGGTATATGGCCCGTCGCCCTTGCTATTTGACGATTGCAAGTTGCGAGAGTATGTGTATTATCATATGATTAAGTTGATGAGGGTTGGCATTAAGTAATGATTGATAAAGATGTTGAAGAACCTTGATGACCTCACATGCGTTATCTCTACCAGTACTGTATGTGAGATGATCCAAGTGGCTTGAAGAAATGAAGACCCCTCGAGGATCTTCAACCCCCCGCCGCCAAGTGCCACTTATCACGTGATCATACTCCATCGTCGGCTTCAATTCGGAAGAGAAGGATCGGTCGTGCATCATCCCATTATCCTTTTGGTCCAAGCAAAAATCCAAAATAGCCAGCCACGAGACGCAGTCTTCATAAGTAAGTAAGAAGGTGTGTTCATGAGAGAAATGTTACGGGATGTCCAAGGCAGCTGCTTGTGAAACAATGCCTTGCTAACAAATTGTAACCGCAGTTTCGAGGCAATGGCTCCAACATACAAGATTGCTGTGATACAGCTGCATCCTAAGGTAAGTACTTTTTCTTAAACTAGTCAGTTGCTGTTTTCTATCTAGGTTTCTTTGAAGCTTGAGGTATGGAGTTATCTCAATGGGACAACTGCAAGCCATGTGGCTAAACGATGTATGCCCTCTAATGAGAATGCTAATGGAGGTTGCCATAATCCGTACTCAAGAATTCATTAGCATATTTGTGTGTCTATTGCTATCGAGCTGCCAGTAACAGTCTCCTTGAAGTCAAGCCTAGATTTCGTCTGCACCGCCTTGAGCCTGAATCTCCGGAATAAGTTTTGCAAGAATAGGTGAAATGCCTCAAAAACAGCCGGAAGGTTGACTGATACATTGTCGTTACTATTCTCTTCAAATCCCACATCTAAAGCTAAGAGCTCGAGAACTTGAGAACTATCCTGACCTCGCGTCTACAGCCGCTAGCAGTGGAAGACAACCATAGCAAAGCCGTAGAGTTCATTAGAGAGGCTGCTTCCCAATCCTGCGATTTGGCGGTGCTCCCAGAGTACCATCTCACTAGTTGTAAGTGAGCTAAAGAGCAATACATCCAGTTTCTTGACCCCCGACGTCCTAAATATTGACTCTTTGACATCTTCATAAGAAACGATACCTACCCATGCTGACTTGGCTACCACCTACAGGGGTTCCCGATGACCCAAATTTCAGTAAGATAGCCTTCACCAAACAACCCCCATTGAAAAACAACTTGCCATATATACAGAAAGCTTAACCCATCTCTTACAAGCCTCCCCCCTTGAAGCATCACCCATCTAACATAACGCCAGTCCCCCTCTGCTCCCAATACCAAAAATACCTCAACGCGTACTGTTCCCTCGCCGCCGAGCTAAACATCAACATCGTCCCCGGCACAATTGTCGAGACCCACGACACCCTCCTAACAAACGTAGCCTACTTCATCTCCAACACCGGCGCCATCCTCGGCCAATACCAAAAGAAAAACCTCTGGCACCCCGAACGCCCGCACCTGACATCCTCAGCGCACGAGCCGCACGTCGCCTTCGACACCCCGCTGGGCAAAGTCGGAATGCTGATTTGCTGGGACCTGGCCTTCCCCGAAGCATTCCGCGAGCTGATTGCCGGTGGCGCCAAGATGATCATCATCCCCACGTTCTGGAGTCTCGCTGATTGCACGGAGAAGGGACTGGCGTATAATGCGCAGTCTGAAGCCCTGTTTTTGGAGAGTACATTGGTCGCGCGCTGTTTCGAGAATACTTGTATGGTGGTTTTCGCTAATGCGGGGGGAAAGAAGGGGGGAAAGAAGGGTAGTTGGGCGGGCTTGAGTCAGGTGGCGGTGCCGTTTAAGGGGGCGCTGGGGAAGATGGGGGATGAGGAGGGCATGAGTGTTGTGGAGGTTGATATGCAGATTTTGGGAGGATGCGGAGGCGGGGTATAAGGTTAGGGAGGATATGGGGAGGGAGGGTTGGCATTATGAGTATTCGTTGACGAGGGATGGAGGTGGCAAGAGTAGGTTGTGAGAGGCTAGTGGATTCCAAGTTTACTGTACTACAACTGGGTCTGAGCAAAGAAAGACAGTATCTAACCTTTTGTAGATAGATAGATAGCTTCTTCGCTCGTGCGATGCGAGCGCCAGGAGGAAATATATGGTACAACTTATGATGATTACTACTAAGCCCATAAAGTCAAAACCCCCCACCCCAACTTTTGCTTTAAAACCGTGCCCCAAATACCATCCCATTCCCCCCAAGCCACGCTTTAGATCACGAACCACAATAATCAGATCCCGTCCCACAATATCCCCACTGGCTACAACACAACCCAACCGCACACGCAGGTCCCGTCCCACAGCCCACAGCCGGAGTGCAGTACTCGGAACCACTACCACAATAGCCATATTCCGAGCTACAAAAACCCAGTAAGTCAATCAGTCAATCACTCGTTCATCTCATGCTTCATTCCCAAGAACCGAAGTGGAGATTTTGGAGATTTATCTTTCTTTTGGATAAATTCTTTCAACATTTATTCAACTTACCAACACAGTCCAATAGTACAATTCCCTCCCACGCCCCCAACACACGATCCCGCCTGGCAGTAATCTGGACCCGTGCCACAGTATCCGTATTGCGAACAGCAGAGGCCAGTGGCACACAGCCCGTCCACGCATGCGCCGAGCTGTCTGCGTGCTAGCTTGGGGATCCGGATATCGAGAACTGGGGATCCATGGCTGGCGAGGGGGATTGCGGGGGTGTTGGAGAATATGGAGGCTGTGGCTATGAGAGATAGGAGAGTGTGTGGGTGCATCGTGGTGGGTTGTTTGAGGAGGAGAAGCTTATGGGAGGCTGAAGGATTGGTTGGGATTCAGATGGGAGTTTTGGAGGTTTATAGCTTGACTTGGAAGCAGACTTTGGCAGTTCATCTTCATAAAGATGTCATGCGAGAGCAGAAGGTATATAGAATCATATGTTTTGTAAGAAAAGCAGCTCAGTGCTTATTCAGGGACTATGCTCTGACTTCAAAGTCAGATGGCCCCAAGAAACGGGATGCAAGTGCATGTGATGTGTGTGCATGTACCCCTTTCAAGCCGCGAAAACAGAAGTACATACCAGTACATGAAAAGTACAAAGAAGTATCTACCGATATACCCGCACCTATATTGCATGAGCTGATAAATTCCCGTGCAGCAGAAGACTAGCCTATACGGACGGTCCCGTGTATAGTTTGTAAATGCAATGGTACCTCCCAGCTCCGCAGGGTGAATTAAGTGGTGATCTATCTGGATAAGGGGAGTCCTTGATACGCCCCTTGGGATTGACTCCTGTTCAGGATGTTCCCCTCAAAGGGTCACGCGGAGGCTCTCACACGGGGGAAAATATAGAGAGTGGTCTTTGAGGACTAGGGCTTATCTGCTGTGCGACGAGGTGATAGAGAATAGAAAGATTATCCGTGGTTGATGAATGGGCTAGGCGCTTCCCCGCATTCTGAATAGATGAATTTCATTGTTATTTCGGGTCATGCCCCGGATTATAGTCCGATAGAGGGATAGACTCATGCGGTGATGGATGACGAGAAAGGTTGGAGGTGGAAAGGAAAGTTCTTATTCTCACAAGCAAAAGCCGGGGTTGCGAGGCGAGGTGATACGTAGTCACGTGCCGAACCCCTGAAACCAAACTCGGCGCTAAACCTCACCACCTCTTCTTGACTTCTTCATCTTGGGGACGGACAAGCTTTTCGCCAGGTCTTTCTTTTCCTTTCCATAATCTCTTCAGCACACTGGAATGCGTGTTCTATCTTTATACCAATTACCCATCATGATTGGCAACGTGCTCTGCGGCTCACGCTACAGAACAAGGGATTCGGGTCTGAGTCCTTGTGTCAGGTCGCCATCATTGAGACTCGCCAAGTTTCAAGCATTAGGATGGCTCCCCGGGATGTACCTATCCCCCAAATCATGGAGAGGAAGTACATGTCGGAATAAGGTAAAGCTGTTTCATTGCTTCTTCTCTTACTGTGACTAGTCCCTGGCAAGTTCCAGGCTGTGCGGTCTCGATCTCTCAAAGACGAGATGCTTGAACCTCTGAGTTTACACAACTTACACCGTTCCTTCTCAGGACAGCCAAGAACTGTGTATCTTCGTGTTTTTAAACTTCATCCTTTCGCTGGTCGTTTATTTTATTTTCTTCTGTACCTTTGATAGGGCTCTTAATTATTCTTTCGATTCTACATTCTTTTCTCATCTCGGTCGATTCGAGATTTGCTGCACTGGAGGCCATCGACGATTTATCTTACCTTTTCAATCACCACTTAATCACGCCTGTTGGCCTATTCCTTAAAAAAAAAAAAATCAGAATGCGTTCATCGACATTATTATGGCGATTACTTTGCGTGCCGGTTGCTGCTGCGATTACCGTTGATCCCACCTCAGTCGGTATGTACAAGAGCCATTGAAGGTGATTTCGAACTAATCAGAGCGACAGACTCGATAAAAAGCGCCGCGAAGACAGTTGCTCACGGGTTGATGTCATTCTACACTGGGAATAACACAGTAGGTTGAATCGGACGCCTTTCGCAATGCAAGCTAACACCTTGGAGGGAGACACACCCGGAACACTACCACCACCCTATTTCTGGTGGGAAGGAGGAGGCATGTTCATGACCATGGTAGACTACTGGCGCTACACCAACGACACGACTTACAACGATGTAGTAGAGCAAGCGCTGCAGTTCCAAGTAGGTCCCGACAACGACTACCTGCCTCCCAACCAAACCAAGAACGAAGGAAATGATGACCAAGGCTTCTGGGGCATGGCAGCTATGTTAGCCGCAGAGACGAACTTCCAGAACCCGCCCAAAGACAAACCACAATGGCTAGCACTAGCCCAAGCAGTCTTCAACGAGATGGCAGCGAGATGGGACACGACGAGTTGCGGAGGAGGATTGAGATGGCAGATCTTCACCTTTAACAATGGCTTCAATTACAAGAACAGCATTGCAAACGGTTGTTTCTTCAACCTAGGCGCGAGACTTGCACGGTATACGGGGAACCAGACATACGCCGACTGGGCGGAGAGGATCTGGGACTGGGAGCAAGGCGTTGGTCTAATAGACGCCAACTACAACATCTTCGATGGAGCCTCCGACACCGAAAACTGCACCGTGGTAGATAGACTTCAATGGTCCTACAACGCCGGCATCTACCTACACGGCGCGGCCAACATGTACAACTTCGTGCGTCCACCCCCCCTTCATCCCCTCTACCACCCCACTAACCTCCCTCCCCCACCCTAGACAAAAGCCAGTCCGATCTGGGAAGAACGCACAGAAGGAATCCTCAACGCCTCGAAAATCTTCTTCCCAGCCAACAACATAATGACCGAGCAAGCGTGCGAGCAATTCTCCACCTGCGACACCGACCAGCTATCCTTCAAAGCCTACTTCTC